AGTATTCACCAGATATCTCAGACTCCCAATGATACTGCGATACCTGGTTGCATCCACTGCATCTCCAGTGTTCTTGACAACTTTCAGGCGATGCTCCATGGGTGTCAAGCTCGGGTTGTAGTCATTCATTCCAGCATCTTCAAAGATCTTGGCTGCATATCCGGACTGACAGACAGTGATCATGCCACGCTCTTGCTTCACTTCAATGCCAAGATAGTAACTGAGCAACCCAAGGTCTGTCATCTAGAAGAGTTCCTGCATCTGGGTCTTAAACCCCTCAATGGCGTCAGCAGAAGTGCCCGTGATAATCAGATCGTCGACGTACACCCCTACCAGCAGAAATGCTGAGTCATCTCCGCACCTTACAGGGCATGATCCAACTGGCACCTTGCGAACCCAAGTGATTGCAGTGTGAGGTCCAGCTTGGCGTTCCATGCTCGTGGCGCCTGCCTGAGCCCGTACAGCGCCTTCCGCAGCTTGAGCACTTTGTGAACTTCATTGTTGTCGACAAAACCTGCTGGTTGGTGCACATACACTTCCTCCTCCAGTTCACCGTTGAGGAAGGCCGAGCGCACATCCATGTGGTGCACTCTCCAGCTTCGGTGCGCAGCCATGGCGAGCAGGACGCGCACTGTCTCCAGCCGGGCAACAGGCGTGAAGACCTCATCGAACTCGACCCCTTATTTTTGTGCATAGCCCTTTGCCACCATCCATGCTTTGTGCTTGATGATGTTGCCGGCCGGGTCTCGCTTCACTTTGTACACCCACTTCAGGCCGATCGCACGGTGGCCCGATGGGAGCGTGGCAAGCTCCCAGGTGTTGTTGGCGCGGATTGACTCCATCTCCGCCTCCATCGCATCCCACCATGCCGGCTCCTCCAGAGCATCGTCGACGGACACAGGCTCTTCTGCAGCAGAGAGACAGAGCCCACTGTACTCCAGCGTGCACTCTGGAGCGTGATCGATCACGTACTCCATCGACTTGAAGTGGACGGGCACCCCCTCGGCATCGAATGACTCGCCGGTGGGCGGAGTCACCCACCCATCTTCGGGGTCGTAGAACTTCTGTGTTGGCGTAGACGGACTGGCACTTGAAGCTGGCGTGCTCGACGCACTTGACGCGCCCACGCTCGAGTCGCCGGACACGGGCGTCCGAGGGGAATGCGATGGAACTGGTGAACTTGGAGCAGTTGGCGTTGCAGGCGCTCGCGGTGATCCCACCACCTCGGGCGTCACGGTGTAGGTCGTGCTTACAGGCGCACCCGCGTCGGAGTACACAACAGTGAACTCGCGGGCGTGCACAGAGTCGCCGGCGTCCTTGCACCAGTCCCAGCGCTGGTCCTCCTCGAAACGCACATCACGTGTGATGTACAGACGCTTGCCAATCGGGTCGTACACCCGATAGCCTTTCGTCCCGGGCTCGTACCCCAGGAAGATGCCAGGGCGCGATCTGTCCGCCAACTTGGTCACCCCCGGTCCGACGAGCTTGACATGGGCGACACAGCCAAAGGTGCGGAAGTAGTCCACCGCTGGCTTCTTCTTGTGCCACGCCTCGTATGGCGTGATGCCCTACAGGCTTCTGGTCGGCGACCGGTTGAGGATGTGGACGGCGGTGCGCACGGCCTCGCCCCAGAACGCGCACGGCACGCCCATGGCCTTCATGAGACTGCGCGCCATCTCCACAACAGTTTGGTTCCTCCGTTCGACCACCCCATTTTGTTGAGGGGAGTACGGCATCGTCGTGTTCCTCTGGATCCCCAGTTCCTCATAGTAGGCGGCGAATTCGTTCGAGGTGAACTCGCCACCTCTGTCTGTGCGGAACGCCCGGAGCTTGGCATTTCCTTGCAGCTCCGCGTGTGCCTTGATCTTCTTGAAGTACCGAAATGCCTCATCCTTGCTTTTCAGTACCTCAAGCCACATGTATCTGCTGAAATCGTCAACTATCAACAGAAAGTACTTGTTACCTCTGGCCGTCGCCGGAGTGACCGGACCACACAGGTCGCCGTGCACGAGCTCGAGCGCGCTCTCCGCGCGGTACGATGATGCGCACGGGAAGGGAGTGCCATGCATCTTCCCAATGGTGCACCCTTCGCAGAACTGGTCGAGGTGCGCGATCGCTGGCATGCCGCGCACCATGCCCTTTGCACGAAGATCATGCAGCGCGCGGAAGTGCAGGTGCCTGAACCTTGCATGCCACCTCCATGCGTCGTTCTGAACTCCGGCGAGGAGGCACACGGGTACGGCCAAGTTCAGAGCCACGGCGTACAGCCGGTTGCTCGTCCGCTGCACCCGCGCAAGCAGCAGCCTCTGCCTGTCATACAGGCAGAGTTCTCCCTCCTCGATCACGGCTTTGCAGCCGTGCTCATCGATCTGGCCGATGCTGACGATGCTTGTGCGTAGTTGCGGGATGTAGTAGACGTCGGCGAGCGCGCTATGTTCACCGTTGCGGCACGTGAAGAGCACAACGCCGCGCCCACAAATCTGCACAACCGAGCCGTCACCAAAACGAACAGTACCCCGTACCGTCTCGCCGAGCTCCGAGAGCATGTCGCGGCGCCCCGTCATATGGTTGCTGGCGCCGGTGTCAAGATACCACCGGTCGTCGTCCGTCGCCACGGGCATGACCCGTGCTTCGTTGAGGAAGATCTCCGCGCCTGGTTCGCGTGCACCGCCATTCGCGCTCTCGCCGTTCACCACCGCGCAGGTGGCCAGCAGCAAGCCCGGTTGTTCGACGTCGACCTGGGCGACGTTTGCCTGTTGGTCCAGCTGCTCCCGCTGGTCCCTCTCCTTCTTGCGGCATTCTTTGGCCCAGTGACCTGGGATGCCGCAGTAGCGGCAGTTACCCTTTCGCTTGGGCGTCGCCGGACCACCATTGCCGCGGCCACCGCTCTGGCCACAGCCGCCCCCGCCTTGGAGGTTCTTGGGCTTGCCATTCCCGCGCCCACGCCCTGCTCCAGAGACTGAGGACGCGCCACCGTGCTCCAGCAGCTTCTCGTGCGCACGCCACTGGTCGATGGTGTACAGCAGCTGCGCGCCGGGGGCAGGGGTTTCCTCACGCTCACGCTCCTCAACGACAAGGAGCCGGCCGCAGAGTTCCTCAAGGGAGAGCTGCTTGGTGTCGACGAGCGACTCGATCGCCACGGCCATCTCGCGGTACGGGCGCGGCACGGTGCGGAGCACCTTGAGGACGACCTTGTGCTCGTCCACGGGATCACCGAGCGCCTGCAGCTCGTCGACGATCATCCTGAGTTGCATCACGTACGACTCGATTCCCTCGCCGTCCTTGTACCGGAGCGACGAGTCTGCGCCTTGGCCTCGCGCACGCGCTCGGCGCCGACCCGCATCGTCTTCAGAGTATCCCATGCCTCCTTGGCAGTGGCCTTGGCGCCCAGGATCCGCACCAGCTCCGGCGGCACCCCCTTTAGAAGAGCGATCATGGCGCGCCGATCGTCTCGGTCCGTGCATTGGCCTGTCTCCACCACGCGCCATAGCTCATCGGCCTGCAACTGCAGCTTAGTGATCATGGCCCAATCAGAGTAATTGGTGCGCGTGAGCATCATCGGAGGCGCGCCACCGCCGCCGCCGCCGTGCATGATTCGCTCGACAACGCGCACCCCCGACCCCTCCTCGGTGGAGAGACGGGCCAGGGACTTGCCAAGCGCCGACGCCTCCACCGCGGCCTCTTCTTCCTGTTTCTTCTGCTTCACCTTCTCGTCATCGCTGCCGGCCATCGCTCCGACGGATCAGACACCGCCGGCGTCCAGGATGGATCAAACACCACCGAGGCTCTGATACCACTTGTTGTTGCAGAAATTGGCCAACCGAACGCGAGAGAAGAGAGGAGGAAGAATGGATCGGGAGGAGGAAGAAGAAGTCTGACAGAGAGTTTTGCGCTGCCCAACTGACTGCAGCTTTTCTGGTCTTTCTGTTATTTATCCATAGCTCAAACGAGTTGCCGAATACAAAGGAGATCACGCCCACACACACCCAGCCTACTGATCGTGCCATCCCACGATGCTAAGCTTGCGCGAGCGACTACGCCGCCGTCAAAACCGCTGAAGTTCCATGCCATCCCATGGAAGCGGTCTTGCCGGCGCTAACTGAACTAACTGAAGAAAAAGACTGAACCGGACGTGGACATACACACGCTACCGGCCACTTATTCAGCTAAGGCTACTTAGAGAAAAACTGAAACTAGCAACTAGGATTATACTTCAGGCGGTAGTCATAGCCACTACCTGGCAGAAGGTGTGTGTGTGCGGCGGCCATGGCGGGCTGCGGCACCGTAGGGCGCAAAGCGGGTAAGAGAAGGGAAGGGGGGGGGTGCAGAACCGCAAGTAGGGAGAGGTGGGCACCAGCCATGGCCACCACATGGCAGAAGGGAAAGGGAGCTAGCGCTTCCATGGCGGAGAAGGAGATGAATTCGGTGGGAAAAAGAAACATAGGAAGGGGGCGACAGATAGTGTGAGTGGATGGATAAGGAAGGAGAAAAAGGTGGGGCGGTGCACAGGTCCCATAGAATACGTGCGACGTGGGAGGAGCAGGGAGCGTTATATGTGTCTCGTGTGACCGGCTGAAGATTCGACCGGCGCGCCGAACATAAGTGTTTACCTTTAACGAACGTTGTTTGAGAGAGGGATATAGGTTCGCTCCATCGAACACTCTTAGCGAAAGCTTCGTCTTCGTTCTGCACGTAGTTTCCTGTATTTGTATTGAGGGTGGTACGTAAATTGTTTTAACACGTCACACACGTGTAAGCTACTTAAACTTGATGTATGTAGATTGTTTTAGCCGGCGAGGTGTGGTCGGAGACTGGAGACCGCGTCAGAAGTCCAGGAAAACGACGGCACGGCCGGAGTCTTGATAAAACTTGATGTATGTACTACTCACCACGCAACCCAAACACGCTTGCAAACTCTATTATATAATCAAGGCTGCACACCAACCAATCAATACGATCGAATCAAAAAGAGAAGAAAATCAATAATACGCTCCTCCAACATGGGCCTGGCGTCGTCGGTTATGCAGTGCTTCGGCCTCACGCGGAAGATCCTCCAGGACCTCCACATCGAGGCGGCCAGCCTTCCTGACCCGGACAACTGCGCCCGCTGCAGCGCCGACGTGCGCCACCACCATGGCCCCTGGATCGCCCTCTTGGGCGGCTTCGTCATCGACCCCTACAGCGGCCACGCCCGCCACCTCCCCGACAACTCCAAGACCGTCGGATCCACCAACGACTGGCTCGCCCTCGGCCTTGGCCAGAAGTACTGCACCACCAACAAAGACGGTGACAACCAGGAGGAGGGGCGGTCGGAACACCACGTCGTGCACAACTATGTCTTGCACAATCCTTTCTCAAACAGGTCATTGCCGCTGACTGAGCTCGATGCTGTCATCGTGGAGGATAGGTCTCTCATCCGCAAGTTTCTCGTGCGCTCCACGGTCGACGACTTCATCGCCGTCATCACCAACAACAGGAAGCATCCGATCATTGTGTTCCAACGAGGGAAAGGCGTGTGGTCGCCCGAGCCATGGGAAACTCCATATATCTACATTATCGATATCGCGTTTCTTGGAGATAAACTATATGGCATAACCATGGCTGAGGACCTCATCCCCCTTGACCTCGCATTGGACGGAGAAGGAAGGCCAAGGGTTACAATGGGAACACGTGTCATCAAGCAATCGCACAACCATGATTATGATGATACCACTTTTGAGAAGGAGGGCGACGATGATGACGATGACCAAAATCAAGACGAGGAAGACGAAGAACACGACAACGATGCAGAGGATGATGATGAAGAAGAAGACAATGACTTGACCCATATCAATTGCTCTCTTGAATTTGATCAAGACGGTGAACCTGATGATATCCCCATAATTAGCCGGCACCTCATCGAGTCATGTGGGAAGCTACTCATGGTAAGACATCGTCGGTACTTCCATCCATACCTCGATGCAGGACCTACATGGGTCACTGTCCAGGTGGATGTATTTGAAGCAGACTTTAACACACACGCTTGGGTGCCACTGACGGAAGGGCTAGGTGGTGGTCGAGCACTCTTTCTTAGCATGAAGTTCTCTAAGTCTGTCCCAGCACCTTGTGGAGAGGTGAAGGAAGATGCAATTTATTTTATGGACACGGGCAATGTGTTCAACATGAAGTACGGTACTTCTAACCCGTCAAAGTTTTGTGAGTATCCAGGAACAACATGGCTCTTCCCTTCTGAGTTGATACTTTGATATGCAAAAAGGTTATGACACAAACTTGGAACCTAAGATTAGATGTCGGAAACATCATGTCATCATGAATTTCCTCTCATAATATGTTATGAAAAAGATTGTTTTTAGGTATACATAATATTTATTTATTGTTTGTCTGATTATAATCCTCTTTCTTCTCTTATCTGCTTGCTCATCTCGGCAATATAATTTTGCATATGTAAGTATAGATGTGCGGAGCAGCACATAGCAAACCGTCATGCGGTAGCAGCAATCCAAAGGAATTGTTGGTGGTACGTAGATTAGTTTTGCCTTGAGGCTTGAAGATACCACTGACTTTCGACGGTGGTTTAATTGGTTGGCAATGTCACACCTGATCGGAGCTCACTAAATAAATCCAACTTTTCTTTGTCGTAGCAGCTCAGTTGGCGTCACACCCTTACAAAACAATAGGCCATTTGATCGACAGATGATGCCAGTTTGTCATCATTGAAACAATATGCTGTTATATTACCAGATGAGATGCTTGTTTTCCCATTGATATATCATATAAGTATACATCATATTCATCGCGCCTCCTTATAAATAAAATCTGGTACTTCTAGCCCGTCAAGGTTTTGTGAGTATTCTGGAACAACGTGGCTCTTCCCTCTGCAGTTGGTGCTTTGATATGCAAAAAGGTTATGACACAATGTCGGAACCTAAGACTAGATGTCCGAAACAATATGTTATCATGTATTTCCTCTCCCATAATGTATCATGACTAGAAAAAAGATTGTTTTTATGTATACGTAATCTTTATTATTGTTGGTCAATTGATATCATCTCCTTCTCTTATCTGGTTGCTCAGTTCCGCAATAAAAATCCTTATCACTGAAGACGACACGGCCAGATATAATTTTGCATATGTAAGAGTAACTCTAGCATATGCCGCGAAAACTCGTCCTGTAAAACATTATATAGCTGCCCCTAAACCGAATTTACAGTACCGGGGCGCATTGGATAGAACAGATCGCACACAAATTTTCAACGGTCAGATGTGGAGCCCACTAGCTAGTCGCTAGTTAAATCTACCACAAGGACTTTGTAAAATAGCATAAATCCCTCGACGAGCAAAATATAGATTGTAATTGGGTTCTTCTCATGCCCGAGGCGGGGCGGTGAGCGGCTAGCTAGCGCGATCACAATGCTGTCGGATGCGGCGGCCAAGCGGGTGAAGCTCGAGGGGTATGCGAGCGGCAGCGCGCTGCTGCTGAGCCTCGACCTCCTCCATGCGCGCGTCCGTCTTCCAAGGTGGAACGGTCGGAGCTCGAGGTGGGACTGTCGGTGCCCTATTGTGGCGGCCATCCCGCCTGGAGCTCTTTATTAGGTCGGAATCGAGCTCGGGAGGTGGCGGCATTGGTTGCGCCGGCTGGGACAGAGGTGGTTGATGCTCAAATTGCCCTCCCCCAAAGGATAAAGGAAACTATAAACGAGGTGGAAAAACTGAAGATATAGCGGGCATGGGTTGAAATATACAGCTCCCCGCAAAAAAAAAATGTACGGACGAGCCAATATAACAATATGCTATTGTATTACCAGATGAGATGCTTGTTTTCTCATTGATAGATTATATGCATCAAATTCATTCAGTCGTATCGTTGAACATCGTTGGTTCGTGCCCGAATGACACAAGGTGTTTTTTTTTGTGCGGGACAATGATACAAAGTACACATTATTTCGTTTAAAAAAAGTACACATATTATTTCGTGTGTACAAAGTCTGTGAAAAAAAGATGGCTTGGAGGTTATGCTTTTCCTTCTTCTTTAGATTATTAGATTAGATGCCGTAAAGGTTAATTTGGGCCGGAGAAAAAAAAGAAGATAAACCTAAACCGAGCTTCTCGCGTCGAATAACCCTTCGTCAACAAAACCGAAGAAATTCTGAGTTGCTCCGATCGCATCTAACACTTTCATCCTTTGCGATTTGCGTCTACCTAAGAGGGCCGGCGCCCATATCCGCCATAGATCCAACAACATGAACGCCGCCGGTGAGGGCGATGGCGACGGCAACGGCATGTGCTTCCCCTACGACGTGCTCCTCGACATCCTTCGCCGCCTGCCCGGGCGCGACATCGCTGCGTCCCAGTGTGTCTGCCGCTTGTGGCGGGCCATCATCGACAACCACGGCCTCTCTCTCGAGCGCTACTTTCCCCGCCGGGCCTTTGCCGGCATCTTCGTCAACAAGACCGGGTGCCGGTCCAATTTGTCCTTCTTCGCTCCACCGACCACTGAGGGCAAGCCTGGCTTCCTGCGCCCTGCCTATCCTCACGAGGCAACTATACGCCAGTCTTGCAACGGCCTCTTGCTTGTGCGAGAGTGGGGAGACTACTACGTGCTCAACCCGGCGACGGCATGGTCTGCTCACCTGCCATGCCCATCGACCTGTCGTGCCGACGTCTTATCCCTCGCCTTTGACCCGGCTGTGTCGCTGCACTATCGTGTCTTCTTGTTACAGAAGGATGAGCTCTTACTTCCAAGACATAGGAGTAGGACAGGCAAGGTTCTACCACTCGAGGAAGTACAGGAGGAGAGGATCAAAGAGCCGAAAGAGAAGTTGGTGCCTATGTTGGTGTACTCGTCCTTCACATGCCAATGGGAGGACCAAGAGTTCACGCCTGGGCGTTGTGCCCCGGGCCACCTCTATGATGTGGTAGCTAGATCACCGGATAGCTACATGGCGATGTTTCGGTCAACTGATTACTGGCACGGGTCGATCTATATACATTGTCACAACAATGTCCTCATGATCCTACGCCCCTCAAAGGGGACTTATGATATGGTCGAGCTTCCTGGGGAACACTGCAGTCCAAAGAGTTTGTCCGGCCTGCCTAAAAGTTCTGTCTTGGCAAGCTACGAGAGAGGGATACAATATGTGGCGATCAATGTGTTGCAGCTCCGTGTATGGATGCTAACCGAAGCAATGAATGGTCAGCTAGGAATAGGATGGACACTGGCACATGACGTCAACCTCAACCCGGACAGTCGTATGATTCACCCTCTTATAATACAATCGAAGGTGACATGGAGGGCGGTTGGAAGCAGTGGTGAACCACCCAGCTCGACCGAGGATGACAATGAGGATGAAGAGGAGGATGAAGAGGAGGGTGTAGCTAGAGAAGATGGCTCTGAACATTCCTGGAACCCGGACGAGGACAACTTCATTGATGTCCTCGGAGAAGTCGCACACCATGGTGTTCCGGCATGGGGTTTCAACTGCAAGATTGTAGGATTCCACCCGCACAAGGATGCGCTCATCCTCATGGATCAGTGGACAGTGGTGGTGTATCATCTTGACACGTTGAAGATGCAATATCTAGGCGAAAGGAAAGAGCTCACTAAGGACGATGAGCAACAAGCTAACCGTGTTGACGACTCGTTTACTTACCGACCTTGTTACAGGGATGTGCTACCGTGCGGGAAATTCTCCGTGCCATCATAGAACGGTTTTGGTACATGTAAATCACTTTAGATGTTTTTCTCCTGCTTCGATGTTCTTCGCCTTCAGATTTTTTTCATTTTTACTAAAAAACAGTTGTCTGGTTTTCAATTGGCTACAGGTCGAATTTTGTGACCGTCCGATCAGTCTCTGGCTCAGGTGTCCGGTGTCTCGGTCGTCCTTGTTTTTGGTCAACCCGTTCTGATTTCGCCTCCATTTTCCCGTCTTTTTTCATTTCGTTGGTCCATTTGCATCTAGCAGAGTCTGGAGAGAAGAGCGGTGGAGAGAGGGAACCATGGAATGCACAAGTGCAGTATCAGAATTCAGTTTAAATGGAGTTTAGTTTATCCAGCTCATGGCACCCGCCGGGGGTTTGAGAACCAAGCTGGCGGGACTGAGACCAAGGGAGAATCCGATCTGAACCACCAATAAAATCAGATGACTTTTTTTTTCCGAGCACAGTACGAACGGGAAAACAACAGACACGTGTCAACCGTACATTTGATAAAAATGCAACCTGAACCAAATTGAAATTCAGACGTGTGATGGTTAGACAGTTCCAAGATTTTACATCAGTCTTGTGTGTATATATACTCTAATATTCACTTCGTTTCTGATAGAATTTTGCTTGGTTATGTAGTACCATGGTCGTCAACTAAGTCTGTTCAGTGGTCGTAAGTCGTAACATAATTAGTGGGGGTGGCAACTCTTGTTCGTGCTGTATACAGTATAAAACTGGAATTACTCCACATGGTCACCAGTGCAAGGACTGATACAGCAGTAGCCAGTAGCTACAGATTTTATAAGAACACCTCAAGATTTCTCCTTTCTCGAGATCATTATCTCGGTTTGCTAGGCAATTTGGATTACCTGAAAGGACTACATCTTCTACGGCATTGACCCAAGCATATATGCCTTGCAGCGCAAGTTCAAAGAAGAAATCCACTGGATTACCTATAGAGCTGAACGAAGAGCTTACTCAGACAGACTCGGGTACAGATCGGATAAGGGGTTACTCCAATATAAGGCTCGGGTACAGATCGGATATAGATAGAAGGAACTACCCGTCATCCGGCTTATTTTCGGAAGGAAATCAGTCGCCTAATCAGCCGTTCGATCCTACCAGATCGGACGTCTCTAGTGGTTTGCGGTTAGACAGCGACGTGATGATTTCTTTCTTTAAAAAATGAAGACGTGATCATTTCTGAAACCCAGGGTCCACACTTCGTACCAGCCTTCTTTTACGTACATGGCCCACAGACTTACCTTTTCAGCTTGTCATTTGAACGACTAGAGACTACCGAATTTGTTCCATGTTTTAAGTAGGCTGCTTTGAACCCTAGCGAGAAAGCTAGGGTTTTCTCTCCCCTAGCGAGAAAGCTAGGGATCTCTCGCTACCGGCGGCCACGCCGGAATTTCCCTCTCCCCCGGACGGATCCCCTCTGCTATCCCTCCTCTCACTCGGGCTGCTCCGCGGCCTTTGTATACGAGAGGGATCGGGGGTGGGTTTGGGACAGGAAGACACTAGGGTTTGTGCGTCGCGA